GCTAGTACTACCCTGATTTCCTTATCTTTCTATGCTCATTACTCAGCCAGTATACATTTTCTTCCAAAATTGTTTGGCACATGACATTTATTTGTAATCTTGAACATTCAGTGTATTTTTCGTTAGATTCTGTGAGAATTCATTTTCTTTTTTTACCAGAACTCAAGTTTATCTCTAAGGTTGATAAATCCAGCTATGGTATTGCCGCACATGTGCAATACTGTACCCTCGTGTAAACTTTCTCATACTGACAATACATGCTCTTTAAAACAGCTTTAATAATTGAACTACTATGCCTGTACATGTACATACTTTGATTAAAATTAATCTTTGATGCTGCAGTTGCAGATAGCTTTGATCTTTAATAGACCTACATGTACATTATAATCATGGATGAGCTAGATGTACTGTAGATGTTTATTACAGGATGGCAAGAAATAAAGAAAATGATGGGAATATCTGAGCATGCAAAATTGAAACATCCATTGTCGAGCCTGCATCTTTTTTTTTTATATCAGAATCAATATTCTAGAATAGATCATTATCATTATTCATTACTGAATTAGAACGCACATGTACTGAACATGTAGTTGTAATGTACGTTGCCTTAGGCATCGGTTTTCGGAAGTGGATGCATAACAAATCTGCATTCTATCATTTGTTCGCAAGTGCAGCAAAGTGTGACAGTACAATGAATAGTTGGTTCGCTCGGGCCAGTTTCACAAAACTGTCATAAATCTAAGTTTGTGGACATCCCATAGAAACGTGTGTTAATTCTATAAAACATGTTTCAATGGGATGTTCGAGATGTTAGACTTGTGACGGTTTCAAGAAACTGCACCCTGAGTGCCAGAAAGGGGGCGTTTATTTGATGGCACTAGAGCCAATGAGTATGTCCTCATCGGCTCGAGATTGCCAAATGCAGAGGCGCCAAGGTAAAAGATCGGCAATGCGTGACATTTTCATTTTTCAGCGCGCAAGCGCGCGTGCGAGGGTATAACACACGTATGGGTATGGCGTTTTTTTTTTTTAATCTAGCGCACGCGCCGTGCGTGAGAGCCGTTTTCAGACCCTCCAAATGCGTGACGTCACGCCTAATGCGTGACACTTGGTAGCTCTGCAAATAGCCCGCTATATTTCTGATTTGGGAAATAAGCCTGAAGTTACAAATCACGTTCTCATTAGCTCAAGACTCGAGCTTGAGAAATTAGCTCGAGATATTTTGCCCAGCGTTCGCGCATAGTACAAGTCTTCGGGCTGGTAAAGACGCACCGCACAAATAGCGGGATATTTTGGAAACTAGCCAAAGATATCTTGGGATGATTATCTCGACCAAATATGCCGCTCAATGCAACTGCGAGCTGATGAAGACGCAAATTATCCAGCTAATTCAGCTAGATCGGGATAGTTAAAATAGTGGGTTATTTGGCAATCGCCAGCTGATGAAGACAGGCCTAATAATGCCCTTCTGGCTCTCAGCAGACGATTTATCTATACGTGTATCCTTCATGTACATGTACATGTACAACATCAACAGAACATAAAGTTATTACGCTTGTTTACAACAGAGACGAAGAAAGAATTATATGTTGTGGCCTACATGTAGTGGATAAGACTCTGGACTTTGAAACACAAGGTACAGGATTCGAATACTGCCACAGCACAAATCTCCTTTGGCAAGACATTAATCTACATTTGCTGTACTCGACCCAGGGGCTGTAAGCTGGTACCTGGTAGGATTCAGTCCTTGAATCTTGCTTGAATGCACTGAGCACTGCAGTTGCTGAAGCTAGAGCAAGGTGAATAATATCCAGTCCTTTGGAAGTGCATAGAGATGAATATCTACATGTAGTACATTACCAGTATGTACATGTAATGTACATGATCATAGTGTGAATTGCGCTATAGAGAATGGTTATAATAATAAAGCTGCTTACCAGGGAAAACAAGCAATACATGAACCGGATTGCACCCGAAACTGCCTCACCTCTCTGTCTAGCTAAAGTAACTTGTTGTTGGGGTGTGATTTGGGATGCAGTGCAATACAGTGTATTCACCCATCCCTGCTACTACTCCGTTAATAGTCTTCAGGAACAGACTCTAATTTGACGCTTTTGAGCCTACATGTAGCTCAGTCAGTCTTTAGCTGTGTCCAGAGGAGCTAAATTAGTACAGAGCCTATGCAGTATGCTTTCAGCTTAGTCTCGCAGTGCAGACACTGTTATGCAGAATGACAGACAAGGGTGTATGCCTGCAAACTATACCACAGCACTCTACAACTAGCAGCCGAGTGAGGTCAATTCCAGGGCAGTAGCTACACCTTTATTGCCTAGCTACTAGTTCTCCTATTTTGGATGCAAATCCTCTCTTTCTATCATGAATACAGTAATGCCTTGTCTCACGCCTTAGCGTGAATGGGGAGGGAGAGCAAGGGCGTGATGCAAAGGTTTCCAGGTAGAGTATTAGATGGGCTGATGGTGGCTTAGCGACATCTTTTATCATCCTAATACTATGCTGGCGTACAGTACATGTAAATGTACTGTAAAAGAGGTGTTAGATGCTGCTTGAGGAGTTGTCATTGTTGTTTCTATTCCAATATTCATTCAAATACAGAATATATAGTACTGAAAATGTTACAGAGAGTGGTTCTTTGCAAATGACAAGACTAACAATAATAATAACAATAATAACAATAAGAATAATAATAACAATAACACAAACAATAACAATAATAATAACAATAATAGCAATAACAATTAAATTAAAAATAAAAATAAAAATAAAAATGATGATGATAATAATAAAAAACAAAAGTAATAATACTAATAAAAATGATAATAATGATGATAATAAAACCATTAGGCATCACGATCATTGATTAAACACCTACACTGTACTACACATACATGTATGTAGCACGCCATCCAACCTCCTCCAGACGTTTTCTCATTTGCACAAAAATTCTCCGGGGGGCCCCTTTCTCGGAATATCTTGAGTAGATTCACCAGAACGTGCCCTAGCTGGCATGCTAAATGGAAGCGCTCAGCATGCATTACAAAATATAATTGCTCATCAGTGCTTGCGCTCACATTGCATCGATTATTTTGCTTAGATTTCAGGGAACACTTCATTGGCTCATCGATTGATATCGGTTCATACAGCAAGCTGATATTTGCTGATTTTGTTTTCATGAAATGAGATTTACGATTACCAAGCTTCATGTAAATATTGTAGATCTAATTGGATGATTACTCCCAACAAATAGATTTAATATTTTATGCAAACTTTGGTTATTCAGTCCATTTCATGGCACAATTGAAAAATAAATTGGATAATTGAATGAACTCTATACACTATTATTCTCACCATTAATCAACATATATACTTGAGCATTAGTTTAAACAGATTTCATGTGAAAATGTTAACGTAGACCTGTGTGTATAAAGTTTTTACTGTACATGTGTAATGAAATGTACATGTACATGTACATGTATGTGTAAAGTCATGCACATGTAAATTGTAATGTACCTATACTGTACATGAACAGGTAACAGATTTTTTTTTTTTTTTTAATTTATTTATTCTCCACTCATGGGATGGATTGCCCTTGTCAGCTATAAGCTGTTTTTCAAAGGGGTCCAGGCCAAGATAAACACATACAATCAGAATAATCAATACATGTATATAGGCTACTCATAAGAATAGACAAATGAATGAATACACACAAAATATAATCTACATAATATAAAAAGTAAATCTACAACAACAAAAATAACATCACTATGGGGGAAAGCAACTACAAAAGGGGGAACGTGTCCTTACATGGTAAAAACGGATAAGGGAGTAACAAAACAAAAAAATTACGAATAAGAAGAAAAGAAAGAAAACCGGGGTTCTTGTATTTTTAGCTTAATTTGTTAAATATAGGAGTTAAGAGCAATTATTCATACTCATACCAAGTTTTGTAATCTTTAATATATATTCAAGTTACTACAGGGGTGTATGTGAAAAATTGATTTATCCTTACATGTATTTATGTTATTTGAGAATGTAAAATATCAAAGCTTACATGTACGTCTAAAAGTATTCAACAAAGGCCCTTGAGTTATGAAAAAACTGACAAAAAATATCAAATTTACAAGGGGTATGAATAATTTAGTTGTTAACCTTAAAGGTCGGTTATTTACTGAAATACCATCTACATGTACATGTATGTAGATTTAAGAAAAATATACTATCTGTAGGCCTTCCCATGTATGAAAAAGGGATTATTAACTATTAAGTTTGGGGGCCTTGAGGCTAGTCTTGTGCATACTGTATATATAGTATCATTTTATCAAATACGGTATGTAGGCCATGGTCGCGGAAGGCTAAGATAGGTCGTAAATGAGCCATGACAGATTGCCTTGGACATGTAAACATTTAACCTGGCATATGGATGCTAATTTAATGCATTTAATAAACCAATTCCAACTGAAGTATAAAGTACCATAGACACGTACAGTGTACACACACATGCATGTATTTACAGCATTGGACTCTATCATTAATACATTCTCTTTTTTCTTTTTCTAAAAGTGCATCTCTGGAGACTGCATCTGTAATGATATTAGCGTCAGAAATCTATAGGCCTTCAATTTCATCATTATTATTTGCAATCATAGGCCAATAGTTAACATTATTCACACATACATGTACCCCTTGTAAATTTGATGTTTTTGATGAAAGGTGGACTGGTTGAATTTGGGTTTTTGTTGAATACTTTTAGATGTAACCTTATATACATTGTATATCACGTTTTCAAGAAACATCAATCGGGAGAAATCAAATTTTCACATACTGATACTATACTCCGAAAATGAAAAAAAAACTGGTGAGGGTATGAAGAAATAAGTTATTAACTTTACGTGGAGCAAGCAAATTGTGATGATAAACTAGTATTTTTATCATGTTTGTGGAATTATTATTATACAAAAAATAGTACATCATTCTAGACTTACTATTCAAGTGCCCCAGTCCAGCATGGAGTATCAGACTACCAGAAGGAGATTACAGCTAAAAAGTGAGATAGAAAAATATAAGAAAAATGAACATAAATAACAATACACTTTTGCGAGAGAGGAAGTTACAGTATACACTGTCCATGTACATGTATCTAACAGCATAAATTGGAGATGACCTCACAAGATACATGAACATGTAGTGTACATGTCACAGTGTTGCCAATTTTTGTTTCACTGATGACAACTTCAGTCAATTCATAACTTTCTTATTTTAATCAGATATTGCTCAATCTTTCAATAATTTGTTCCTCTTATTTTTCTGTTTTTATCAAAATTCAACACCATTTTAATCACTGTTAGAGCATGTTGCACAGAGATGCCTAGCCTTCAAAGAAAACCATAAATATCTTTGAGGTTTGAGAATTTTCTCAGGAATTTTTGCCTATTAGAGAGTACATGTATAAAGTACAGTAGTAATAAGTTACATTTGATACAAAAATTACATTTTTTTTCATCAACTCTCAAAGATGTTACCGAGTCACTTTAATACTAGGTTGGACTTCCCCTTTAATAAAATGTGCATGGCCTTCGGGTATCTCCTGTGGCCCTCAGAGTTGAAATTGAAGCATCATGGTTGATTGGTCGGTGAGCCTAATGTAAGAAACAGACACTAGAGATTGTCTCCACCAGGCAGAATTGATCTCATAGAAGGCCTGTCCTCATCAGCTCGAGATAGCCAAATATCCCGCTATTTGAACTATCCCTATCACAAATTATCCAGCTAATTTGCGTCTTCATCAGCCCAAAGTAGCAATTAGCGGGATATTTGGTCAAGAAAATCATCCCAAGATATCTTGGGCTGGATTGCAAAATATCCCGCTATTTGTCTTGTGCGTCTTTACCAGCCCGAAGACTCACATTATGCGCGAACACTGAGCAAAATATCTTGAGCTAATTTCTTGAGCTTCAGTTTCAAGTTTCGAGGTCGAGTCTCGAGCTGATGAAGACGATTTGTAACTTCTGGATTATTTCCCATATCAAAAATAGCAGGCTATTTGGGCTTTTGGCAATCTTGAGCTGATGAAGACAGCTGATGGAAACAGGCCTATTGTCTCCTCCATGCAGTATTGATATCACAGGCCTCGAATTACATCAAATTTGGGTCAAGGCCACTTTTTTGAGAGGGCACAAATCCACTGAAAGGGGCACAAATCTATCCTAAGGGGCACTAAGGCCAACGTGAAAAGTGCGCGTAAAATTACCTCACGCCGTTGTTTTCAAGGTGGGGGGGGGGGGGGATATGTGCACCCCGGGGCGGATCCAGGATTTCTTCCTTAGGGGGGGGGGGGGCCCACTTTTTTTTTTTGTCCCCCAAAAAAATCGCAACGACTCAGCCAGCCGTTAAAAAAGGGGGGGGGGGGGGGGTAAGAGGACACTTTTTTTTGTTTTTTGGTCTCGAAATTTGAAAATTTGACATTTTGTTCCCTTTGGGGTGGGGGGGGGGGGGGGGGAGGGGTGGGAGGTGAGGTAACTTTTCTTATATCAGCCATTGGCATAATTTTTTTTTGTGTGTGTGTTTCATTTTTTAAAAAAAAGGGGGGGTTTGCTCCAAAATACAGACATAAAAAAAACCGAAGGGGGGGATTTAACGCCCCAAACCCCCCCCCCCCCCCCCTGCGTACGTGCCTGCTCGTCTGAATACAGTTCCCCTCTCTCCGCGCAAAGCGCGGAAGCTTTTACGTTTCATTAAATCATTAGAGAAAGAAGAGGATTCGTTGTACCGTTTTTTACTCTTAATCCTCGTCTAAATTCATCCCCCCCCCCTCCCCCGCAAAGCTCGGAAGCTTTTACGTATCATTAAATCATTAGAGAAAAAAGACGATTCGTTGTCCCGTTTTTTACTCTTAATCCTCGTCTAAATTCATCCCCCCCCCCTCCCCCGTAAAGCTCGGAAGCTTTTACGTTTCATTAAATCATTAGAGAAAGAAGACGATTCGTTGTCCCGTTCTCGACTCTTAATCCTCGTCTGAATTCAGTTCCCCCCCCCCATCCGCGCGCGCAAAGCGCGAAAGCTTTTACGTTTTATTAAATCATTAGAAATAGAAGACAATTTGTTGTATCGTTCTCGACTCTTAATCCTTGTCTAAATTCAGTTACCCCACCTCCTGCGCGATCGAAGCGCGGAAACTTTGACATTTAATTTAATTATTAGAGAAACAAGACGATTCGTTGTACCGTTCCCGAAAATAATCCTCGCCTGCATGAATACAGTTTTCCCCTTCCCGCGCAAAGCGCGGAAGCTTTTATGTTTCATTAAATCATTAGAGAAAGAAGACGATTCGTGTGTGTGTGTGTGTGTATTTGGTTTTTTACAGACGTGTATCAATCAGATATGATTATTTACGTCTGGGGACCGACTTTTAACGTCACCATCCGAAAGACGTGACTCAGTTTCGAACCTGCGTTCTCGGCTGAATCAGTTTGTAACTTCCACTGTTAGCTGGATTACAGGCGCACGCCACAATGCCTAGTTTGTGACGATTCGTTGTACCGTTCTCGACTCTTAATCCTTGTCTGAATTTCAAAAATGTTTTTTGTCTGCTCCTTTTTCTTCATACGTCCTCTTCCTTTTCTCTCCTCTCTTTTTTTGGCTTTTTTTTGGGGGGCGCCCCCACTGCCCCCCCCCCCGGCTACGTGCCTGCGGTCAGATGAACATCTTTTGATACCTTGTTCGCCCCCGGAACTCATGGGTTGAAGGCAAATTACGGTCAGATAAGCATTCAGGGGCCCGCCTCAGGGCCCCTGGTGGAGTCTAGGGTGCGGAAACCCCTGAATTTCAGGGGTTTCAGGTATTTGATTACGGTCAGATGAACATATTTTTATACCTTATTTGTGACACTGGCAGGATACTGATTGGCGTGAGGTCCCGCGGGCGAGCCCCCAAAAGCCCATGGGTTTAAAGCATTACATTACCGTCAGATGAGTATCAAGAGGCCTGCCAAAGGGCCCTTGGTTGGGTCCCGGGGTTTTAGGCGTTTAATTACGATCAGATGAGCAATTTTTGATACCTTATTTTGTTGAGAAACTGGTAGTTAACTATTTTTTCTTTCTTGCTCTCTTTCTTTCTATTTCTCTTTAAAATGCTTTTCAAAAAAAAATTGGGGGGGGGGGGGAGCTGGAGGGGGGGGGGGGGGAGTTTCCCCCTTTGACGTTTCATTGAATTATTAGAGAAAGAAGATGATTCGTTGTACCGTTCTTGACTCTTTATCCTTTTCTGAATTCCAAGGGAAGCGCAGAAGCTTAGACGTTTTTAATAAATTATTAGGGAAAGAAGACGATTCGTCTCGATCTCGACTACCGGTATTATCCTTTTCTGAACTCAATTCACACCCCTCCCGCGCGATGGGCGGAAGCTATGACGTTTTAATTAAAACGTATGGTAAAGAAGACGATTCTTTGTACCATTATCTCGACTCTTAATCCTTTTCTGATTTAATTCCAGACCCTCCTCCCGAGAAAAATCCAAGTTTTTCACTGATTAAAACTGTGAACACGCACCAAAAAAGGTCACAACGCGAAGTTAAGATGTTGAACCAACGATGGGTAAACAAAACTTCCTGATATTGATTGGTTCAAATAAAAAGGATGGATTGAAAAACTAAGCCTGAGTCATTACGGTTTTTGTGCCAAACGTTTCAGTCATTTGGATGAAGACATTCTTTCATATCTCCGTAAGCAATTAAGTCCCGCCAATTAATTTAGGAGTTCCATAGTGGAAATTAAGTCTCGCCAATAATTATTGTTTTAGATCTCCGTAGGGGCAACAAAGTCTTGCCGATTATCATTGTTTTAGATCTCCGTAGGGGCAACAAAGCCTTGCTGATAATTATTGTTTTTAGAGCTCCGGAGGGGCAACAAAACCTTGCCGACTATTATTGTTTTCAGAGCTCCGGAGGGGCAACAAAACTTTCCGGTAATTTTTGTTTTTAGAGCTCCGGAGGGGCAACAAAACCTTGCCGACTATCATTGTTTTTAGAGCTCCGTAGGGGCAACAAAACCTTCCGGTAATTGTTGTTTTTAGAGCTCCGGAGGGGCAACAAAACCTTGCCGACTATCATTGTTTTTAGAGCTCCGTAGGGGCAACAAAACCTTCCGGTAATTATTGTTTTTAAAGCTCCGGAGGGGCAACAAAACCTTGCCGATAAATATTGTTTTTAGAGCTCCGGAGGGGCAACAAAACCTTGCCGACTATTATTGTTTTTAGAGCATCGGAGGGGCAACAAAACCTTGCCGACTATCATTGTTTTTAGAGCTCCGGAGGGGCTACAAAACCTTCCGGTAATTATTGTTTTTAGAGCTCCGGAGGGGTAACAAAATCTTCCGATAATTATTGTTTTTAGAGCCTCGGAGGGGCAACAAAATTTTGCCGACTTATCATTGTTTTTAGAGCTCCGGAGGGGCAACAAAACCTTCCGGTAATTATTGTTTTTAGAGCTCCGGAGGGGCAACAAAACCTTCCGATAATTATTGTTTTTAGAGCCTCGGAGGGGCAACAAAACCTTGCCGACTATCATTGTTTTTAGAGCTCCGGAGGGGCAACAAAACCTTCCGGTAATTATTGTTTTTAGAGCTCCGGAGGGGCAACAAAACCTTCCGGTAATTATTGTTTTTAGAGCTCCGGAGGGGCAACAAAACCTTCCGATAATTATTGTTTTTAGAGCCTCGGAGGGGCAACAAAACCTTGCCGACTATCATTGTTTTTAGAGCTCCGGAGGGGCAACAACACCTTCCGGTAATTATTGTTTTTAGAGCTCCGGAGGGGCGACAAAACCTTCCGATAATTATTGTTTTTAGAGCCTCGGAGGGGCAACAAAACCTTGCCGACTATCATTGTTTTTTAGAGCTCCGGAGGGGCAACAAAACCTTCCGGTAATTATTGTTTTTAGAGCTCCGGAGGGGCAACAAAACCTTCCGATACATATTGTTTTTAGAGCTCCGGAGGGGCAACAAAACCTTGCCGACTATTATTGTTTTTAGAGCTCCGGAGGGGCA